TGAGTTTTTGAGCATGTTGAGGCCTCCAAATATGCGTTTGTTTAGGAGGAAAAAGAAAAAGAAAAAGAAGAATTCCTTCAATTACAATAGGGCCTTCGCACGTTCAGTGCTCGGGCCCTAAAAATGTAATGTTAAGTAAAATATAATTCAGCTGTTCAGCTTTGTTTGTTTGTTTGGCTCATAATTAGTAAAACAAAAACTTCCTGGTCTTTTTTTAACTGACTTTTTTTAAAACAAACATAATACAGGGAACACACAGGAGATGCTTATAACATTACACTTGTTTTTAAATTATATTCATGTCTATTCTAAATATCGTTCTGAAATCAGTATTTGTTGATTCATTCATTCAAATAATCAAATTATACAATATTTTTGTATCTGTTCTAATCTATCTCATCTTATCTTATTGACAAGTGGTTCACATATTCATCGGTTCCCCCAGAATCTTCTTTTATTGTCGCTGTATTGTAATGTTATTATTATTGTGTTGGATTTGCAGATTTCTGTGTTTGCTTGTGTCTTCTGCAGTGTGAATCTGCAGGAATTGAATAGAATTGAACTTTATTGTCCCAGGGCAGGAAATTTGTCTTTGACTCGCCAATATATATGAGGATAAAATGTCCAGATTGAATTCATTCTTTCCATAGATAATGTTATCTTGCTCTATATGGCTTGGGTCCGGATGAAACTCATCAGTACAATAGAATAAGATCAGCTTTGTCCATTGTGAGAATGCTGACTTTTTGTCTGCCGCATTAGCCTTTAGTCTTTTAACATGATATCATGTATGTAGCCATTGAGTGCATATTTAAGACCCATTTTGTATCCTACAGCACATTATAAAATGTGTATCAATAAATTAGGTCTCTACTCGATTAATGTGAAAATAAAATAATGCTGTGTGGCAGAAAAACTGCTGTTTTACCATCAGTGATAATTATTCTGTGATAGTTACACCACCTTAGAGGCATGTGTAACTATTTAGTTGTTACTTAGACTTAACTTATCTAATGTGTGTATGTTGGTTTTTGATACAGAAATGATGCCTTTCACAATAAATTACCTGTATATTTATGAAACTTATGGGAACCATCACTGCTTCATTTTTGCTTTCTTATGAATGGCAGCAAGCTGTTTACCGCACACTGAGCTGCATTTTTATTCTGAACAAAAACAAATGTAAAACATTTCTTTATGTGGTTTACAACATGTATGCATGTATTTTTAACACTCAGCATTTAAATATGCAAAGTTCATATAAAGTATATTAACCACAGGCAGCTGACACTGAGAAGCATTGTTGCAGGTTGAAGAAGTAAATCATCTATCATCTAACTTCTTTTTCTGACCTTTGTAACAGCTATGGAAAGGGTCGTACGTCTACTTCTACTTCTTTCAGGTCAGTGTTAAGTTCAGGTTTCTTCTTTCTTTTGAGATGGACTGACATCTTCTCACATCTGTTTGTCTTGCTCTATGAAAGCCAAAGTATGTTTATGAAGTTTTTTTATGTACTTTACAACATTTGAAGAGTCATAACGATTGTTTGTTTTTAGTAACAATAGTGATGTCTGTTAGATTTGGTTAGAACAGACCCACTGAATATTAAATCAATCCCTCGCTATATCTTAACCTTTATTAGGAAAAGTGCAGGTTATGAACTTCTTTTTACAATACAAAAACGTGAAATTTGTGGCTGTCTTGTCAGTATATGAAGAAGGTAATTATTGGTTATTGTGCCAACATTCAGATTTTTATTAACCCTTATGCTCTACAGATAAATGCCAATCATTTGTTCCCATTTTCTCCAACAGGACTGTGTTCTCTGTCTTCATGTGTGTCCCAGAATCGATATTACTTCTTCGTCAATGCGTCTAAAACCTGGTATGAGGCACAGAGCTACTGTAGAGAGAAAGGTTTTGACCTGGCCACCATAGACGACATGGGAGAGATGGAAATAGGTCTTAAAGCTGTAGAGGGCAAATACAAGGATGCAGTGTGGATAGGGCTTCAGAAAGAACTGACTTGGAGGTGGCACTGGTCTCTGGCAGACAAAGATTTCTACAAAGAGGGAGAAAGAGACTATCTCATCCCAGACAAAACAGCCTACAACTGCTTGACTTACACAAATGGGAAACTTTCTCCAGTTGCTTGTCCATACAAGAAATATTCAGTTTGCTTTGATGGTGAGAGTCATTCATTTGTGCACTGCAACTACACTACAAAAACACTATAACTGTGATTTATTTATTGAATTAGCTATTTTCTTTTCAGGTAAAAAAGATGGTCGTGAACAGTATGTTCTCACTAACGTAGCCATGGAATGGACTGTTGCACGGGACTACTGCAGGGCTCATCACACAGACCTGACTAGTGTGAGAAATGAGCTGGAAAACCAGATAATTCAGGAAGTGTCCCGTAACCTGGCGGTGTGGATTGGCTTGTTCAAAGATCCTTGGATGTGGTCCGACCAGACTTACTCTTCGTTCAGATACTGGAAAGAAGGCAAAGAAGTTTGGACTGATGATACAAAAAACTGTGTTGCTATGTTAGAAAGTTCATCTGGTAGATGGGGAGAAATTCCATGTAATGAAGCTCATCCATTCCTCTGTAACTATGGTAAAGCTCCTGTTTTACATTCTTTATACTCTTTTGGTTGAAGCCTTTAATATCAGTTCAAAATTTGAATTACCTGTCATAGCTGGTTGTTTGTGATGTTCATAAACCCTGATCCCCCTTCTTTATTGTTGCTAACGCCTTCCATTACTGTACCGCACACATGCAGTTTATATTGATAACTGTGATCTTGATTTCACATAGAACAAAAAAGGCTCCTAGTTTCGATCCAGCGATTGTTGATTTTGGCAGCTAAAACCAGGACTTCTGTATTAGGGTCATCACCATGTGGCTTTTTTGGAGCCAGCGGTGGTGACGTACTAAAAGTTGAGCTGTGTGCTCATTTGTAGGAAACATTGGCACTGCCTAGTTTGACAGTTTGATCTCAGTTTTGTGCCTTGCGCTGGAATCTCACGACTATTTTACTTTAAACAGAACCATAATTTACCAAATGAACGTCGTGCTGCATAGAGGAAGACTTGAAACAAGCGATTGAGACCATAAACTCATTAGGAAACAGTTACCCTAATAAATCAAATGAGAAGCAGGCTCATTTCCCCATAAAAGAGCATGCAACTGGTCTTTTATTGCAGCCAATGGAGCTGCCCCCTGCTGGCCATTACATAGAATGCAGGTTTAAGAAACTTCTTCTAAAGTTTCGCTCTAAAACAGAAACACAGGCACTGTTTGGCGGAGGGGTTCAATTAAGACCAACAGCTGAGTGTACATCTTCCTCTGTGGTGGGTTGTCACAGTGAATATAATGAAATGTGTCTGTGTTTGTGTTTGTGTGTCTCTTTTTCAGGTCCCGTTGTAAAGTTCATTAAAGTGAGGATCAGCTCAGAGGACTCAGAGTTGGATCTAAATGACCCTGTAGTGTATGATGACATACTGAAGCAAGTGAGTCTCACATTTAAATGTGCTGTCTGGTGCAGAGATAACATGAAACACTCCTGATGTAAGTGAAGTGGGAAAAAGCTTTTAATTAGTACATTTTCTCTTCTGTTCCTCAGGTCAAGCAAGAGCTGAGTAACACGAATGTGACTAATCTACGATGGAGAAAGAATCCTGATGGAAGAGTTTTTGTCAAGGAACCAAACCGAGGTGGCTAAAGAGAGAGAGAGGAACTGTTTCTATTGTGTGTTTGGTTATAAGTGATAAACCCACTAAGAAGCAATTGTACAGCTCTACGAAGCTTTTAGTTAGCTCATTGTTTTGGTTTTATCTAACATATACTTTATGGTTAGTGTCACTTCTCTCATCAGTCCCATGTCCAGCAGCAACATGCAGCTTTTTTTCCATTAAAACTTCATGTCCTTCATAAATGCTACCTTCCCTCATCACTAGAGGGAATAACAGCGGCACATTATGGTTAGCAAATAACGTAGGAGTTTTAGGAGTTCGTTGGAGATCTAAAAGGGAAATTGCATGAAAATTGTTTGTTATTGTAATATGAAAGAACTGAATGAATGCAGCTTCTAGCAGAAATCAATGGAAGAATAACATTTTAGTTTTGAGGTACTTGTACTTTAATATTTCCTACTTTATATACTCATATGCTTCCTTTTAGAAAGAGATATTGTACTTTTTTATTTCACTACATTTGAGATTTATCATTAATATTTTACATACATAACATATGATCAGCTTGTCAAATATTGCTATTGATTAAACTATTCATGGGAGCATATATCCAATGAGCTCCACCTTCTACAAACACATATATTCTGCATTAAAATGTCTATGAACACTAGATCTTTGTTATATGTTTTGTGAGTTGGGTACTTACATTATCACAAATGTTTCCAACAAGTTCTGGAGAAATCTGTAATTTTATTCAGGTAACAGGTATGTTTCTGTTTGCAATCTGTAGTAGCCTACAGGGTGGGGTTCAGTAAACGTTTAATCCCACATACCGTGATTTGATTGGTTTATCTGTATAATCTGATCAATTTAATTGTTTGGGACTTGCAGCTAAAATGAATCCACTTACGGCACAAAAGGCCTTACTGTACAAAAACACAACTTTAAAACTCCAGTCACTGATGTGACAAAGCTATATTGGGCACTTTAGTTTGATGAATGTATTGTTTATCAGACCACAAATAACAAGAATTACTGATTAACATACAACAAGACAAAAAACAATTTTATTCACAGATTTTGGTGAAAGTGGATCATATTTTATGGATTTTTTAATAGGATTTCCCTCTGATGTCCTCTCTGCTCTACCTCAACTCTCAGTGATTTCTTGGTTCTTGGACAATACTTAATGCTAAAGTAGCTGCTAACTGTTGCTAACACTAGCTGTCATTTGCGATCCTATCAGCTACAAGCCCGGTTCTGTAAAGGCGGCCTGCATTCCCTACTGGTACTTCACCTGGAAAAAAGAGAAACAGAAAAACAGACAAACAAAATGTAAAATAAAGGTTAAATTAACTCATTTAATCAGTATACAAGGCAAGTAATTCAGAGTCTAATGGCACTTCTTTTTTTCCTGTTTTCTTAAGGATTTAAAGATTTTCAGGTCATTTATAAATGCCACAGACCTTAGAGGAATTAAAAAACATTATTGCACAAAAAGTCAACATTTTTGTTTGGATAAAAACACCAACAAAAACACACAGTAACATGCTTTCTGTCCCCAAATATCTTAACAATATTACAGGTTTAGAAGAGATGTTTTATGAGATATGTTTTGACTAATGTGCATACATTATAATGTACATTAAACCTTAAATTAAACTCGCACATGTGTTTCTCTCATGAACTTTCTAGACTTCCGTGGATCGGATCATTTTAGTAAAAAGACGGGGGGGGGTGACATCTGTTGTGATTGTGCAAAGTATTGTGTTTTAGCTGTATATAACCAATTTTATTGTGATATATCCTGTATATATCCATCAGAATCTCCTTATCCAATTATTTTCTAACAAACTATTTGAGCTTTCGGTCTGAATTATGACTCATTTGGGTGTTTTTATCGCCCCTGCTGACAGCACGGAGTGGTACATCCCACATGACAGCTCGACCCTTTCACGCTGAGCAGACTGCTGCAAACGTCGATAAACCTGATATTTCATGCAGATCCTCGTCGCTATATTGCTCCCTTATAGTCTAAACTCAAACTATTAACCAGCAACATGTCTGCACCGAAGAAGGGAGACTTGTCTTCGAGCGAAAAGGAGTTGTTTGAGGTTATCACGGCAGGTAAGCCTCTTCGGCTAACGCTAATCCCTGCAGACAGCGACTGGCTCTTCTTATAAATTGTTATATATATGTGTGTGTGTGTGAGATAAGTTACGTTAGAGATGTTTAAATATAATATAATAATATAATATAACACTGTTGCTGCTCGTTAAATTGTTAAATCATCAGTTTAAATGTGAGGCTGCATGTTGAGGCCTGACAGCTAATATTGTGTACATGTAATGTATGTCATATGTATATGAGCAGCTTGTTGTCTAAAATGTGCATCAACCTGCAGGATAACACTGCAAGCTTTAAGGTCTGTGTTTATATTCAGGAGAGTGTATGCTTTGGTACAATATGGCTGTTCAAGTCATGATGAAATCTTTTAGTAATGCCTTTAAAAAGAGGTGTGTTTCTCCTCTGGATGTGCAGGATTGTGGGTGAAGCTGTTTGTGTTTATTCTGTAATAATGTTGGATTTCATGCTCTTAGGAAATGTCCAAGAGGCCTCAAGGCTGCTGGGCTGCAAGGATGTTCGAGTCAACTGTTTGGATGAGGTAACAGAGCATTTGTTGATGACTTTAATTACTCCTAATTTATAGATTTAAAGACATTTTGACAGCCCTCAAAGGCGTTTCTTATACTGCCAGTGTAGCATATTGCATTAAAAGCCTATTGTCGTCTGCAAACTGTTTACAAAGTTAGACTCTTGTGGTTCATCCTAAAGCAACGATGCATTACTTAAACAGAAAGTTTTACTATTGGATTCATTTACCTATATTCATAGCTTCTGTTGATTAGAAAATGTTTTCATGTTTTTCCGCATCAAATGCGTTTGCGTTATACTGATGGTTCGGGAAAAACAACGCTTACATCTCTCAAAGTGTCAAATATAACAAACATAACTCATTAGAGGCACCAATTGAGGCTTGTTTAGGTGCATTTCAGCACTACAGTTTGTTAGTTTTGTAGAAAAGAAAACCTACTAAGCTCTTTTACCACAACTCTTCCTTTGTTTAATGACATGTGTGGGACTTGAAGGGCTTTGGAGAAGGTCCTTAATGTCTTTCCCTCCATCTGTCACTCCGCCTGTCAAAATCAGGTGTTTGAAAACGGATGTTCGGTTATGTAACGGACGCTATGTCAGTGTCTGTTTACATGAGAGTGAAATTGTCAGTGTAAATCACGTATAATGTCTGTTTTGTCTCATTCGACAGTATGGGATGACCCCTCTCATGCACGCGGCTTACAAAGGAAAAGCAGACATGTGCAAGTTGCTGCTGCAACACGGAGCGGATGTGAATTGCAATGAACACGAGCATGGATACACGGCGCTGATGTTTGCTGGCCTGTCAGGTATGCTGTTAATGGAACCGGTCAAATACTGAAAATGTAAAGAGTTGATCGTCACAGCAATATAATTACTCTGTTACGTTGTTACGTCCCTCCCCGTATGTGTTGTGACTCCTCTTCCTCTGTGCCTGTAGGTAAGACTGACATCACGTGGATGATGTTGGACGCGGGGGCGGAAACAGACGTGGTCAACTCTGTCGGAAGGACCGCCGCACAGATGGCCGCCTTTGTTGGTACGTCTGGTTGTGACATGCGCTCGTTCACACAACAGTGCAGTGTTTTCTTTAAGCCTTGTAAACCCAGTGAGTCAGAGATTGTTTCACAGCGGATACATCCTAAAACACAAACGAACATGACTCTGTAATCAAACAACCGACTTGATGTTGTGAACCCTTGCAGGTCTTTAGAAAATGAAAAAATATGCACAGTGCAGTTCTTTTTGAGTGGATTAAAATAGTTCCCACACTGACTTGTCTGTGAGCTGTTGTTAAATTTGACTTTCGTTCATGTTCCTCTTTAACTGGTCTGCAGTTGGTGAAAGAGCCGAGGTTTCTTGGTTTGATTAAAAATGAAACGCCTCTGCTTTTCCTTCCTCAGGGCAACACGACTGCGTCACCGTGATCAACAACTTCTTCTCCCGCGCCAGACTGGATTACTACACCAAGCCCCAGGGTTTGGAGAAGGAACCCAAGCTGCCTCCCAAACTGGCCGGACCCCTCCACAAGATCATCATGAGCACCAACCTGAATCCCGTCAAGGTAGGACTCCACTAGTCACCCTCGATATGAGTGGATCTTCCTCAAAACACACCAGCTGCCAATTTTACTGATTATGTTCCTTCATGTGGAAGGGGGACAAGTAATCAGAGATGCAATCAGCTGCTGCTGTGATTAGTCTGATTGGAAACCAGCATGATCTTGGCCCTCTTGGGTCTTGCACCATGCTCAAGAGCACAAAATGAGGTTCCGTTTGTGCCAAAAATACTCTACTTCAAACTGCTTTGTGCAACATGTTTGTGGACGTCTGCTATCATTGTCTACTGTTACGGCTAAAAAGGGTTTTACTCGTGTAGTGTGTCCTGGGCCGGCAGTTTAAGATCCCTTTGTTAAATAGATACAGTACCTACCTCATTATAAAGTGTATGTCAAAAATCTTAAGTCTCAAGGTCTGAAATGGAACTTGATAAGCGTCTCTTGTGTGTTTGTAGATGGTGATGCTGGTGAAGGACAACCCCCTGCTGGCGGAGGCGGATGCTCTGGAGAAGTGTCGCCGGGTGATGGAGCTCATCTGTGAGAAGTGCATCAAGCAGCAGGACATGAACGAGGTGCTGGCCATGAAGATGCACTACATCAGCTGCGTGCTGGGGAAGTGTGCCTCCTTCCTCAAGGACCGCGAGGACAAGCTGGATGGCCTCATCAAAAGGTGAGGCTACGTGAGATATTAACTAGGGATTTGTGGCCTTTAACTTTAAATTCTCACCACATTGAGGGTTTAACGCAAATGGAAATGTGGAGGGAATGGAAATTTATACAATTACTGCTGCACTGGATTTATCACTGCAGACTGACAAGTGCACACCTAGATAATGGCTTTTCTGTGAGTTTCTACAGCTCATAGAGAATAATCACATCTAAAAATACCAATGCCAGGAGAAAACAAAGCACCAAGTATCCATCTTTTGCATAGTAATCAAGTACATGTGTAATGTATGTGTATCATCAATATAGTAATGACTTCCAGTATTCACATATATTATTCTGGACAGACAGGTATGTAAACTGCAACCAGGGGACTTAAATTAATGGTGAAAAGATGCTCTGTTCAGCATTTTAAGGTTTTTAAAGGAACATCCTGGGTTTTAATGTCTTTTGAGATGATTTGCTTTATAAAATGTTCGATCTACTCAATCCCTGTCCCGCAGCATGCTGAAGGGCAGAGACAGCGATGGCTTCCCTGTGTATCAAGAGAAGTTTATCAGAGAGTGCATCCGCAAGTTTCCTTTCTGTGACGCTACTCTGCTGCAGCAGCTGGTGCGGAGTATCGCTCCTGTGGAGATTGTGAGTCTGTGATACTCATCTGAATGTGAAACTTTCTGTCTCAGTGGTGCAACGCCTAATCTTTTTTGTCCTTTTCCATCATCGCAGGGCAACGACCCCACAGCTCTGTCAGTGATGACTCAGGCCATCACAGGTCAGGTCGGCTTCATGGACGCAGAGTTTTGTACCTCCTGTGGAGAGAAGGGAGCCGAGAAGAGATGCTCCATCTGTAAAATGGCGAGTGTCAAAACGGCCGTAATATATCAATTTAGATGTAGAAAGATGGAGTCTTTTCTCATTGGCAAAAGGTTTATTGTTTTTTAAGCTGGGACTTCTTAGCAGTTAACCTTATAAGACAAATCTTCCTCCATTTTTGGGGCTTCATTAGATAGCAAGAGTGGAACGAAAACAGGAAATGTGGGAAAGAGAGATGAAACAAAGGTTTATTTAGACCAGATACTTGTTTGTATGAAACAAAGCAAAATGCACTGTCAATTTAAAGCTGCGAGGTTTATTTCTTCTGTCCTTTGTTTGTGGCTTTTATTTAATTACATGTTTGTTCAAATAAACTAAACCTTTTTTTGGCTTTAGGTGATCTACTGTGGCCAAGCCTGCCAAAAGATGCACTGGTTCACTCACAAGAAAGTTTGCAAGATACTTCAAGAGCAGAGAGAGAAGCAGGAGGCCGAATCAGCCAAACTGAGGATGCAGCAGAGCACAGGTACTTCATCTATCTCAGAGCCAAAATATGACACAGAATAAAACAATACTACAGACTGAACACTCATCCCACACACAGATTACCATCCAAAGATTGTTACAGGACAAGAGGTGATTGCCTCATAATTACACCGCATAGAAAGATGAGCAGCGTCTACAGGAAGGTTATTTTAACCACCAAATGTGTGAAATATATTTCAAACTCACTGCAAATTGTCTTTAGACCCAGGTCTCTTAGGTAAAAGTTATGACACTCAGAAGCTTTTAATATCTGAGCATAAATTTGTGCATGTCTTTTTGAATTGGAAATACAAAATATGAATGAATAACAAATGGAAATTATCAGTATGTCTTTTATGAAAAATGAAAATGTAAGATATCTGCTTAAAAGATAAAAACAAAACTTAGCACAAACAATGTGGTTCAACCATTTTTACTTACCAGCTCATTGCCCGTGCACTTTCTATTAACAAGAGTTTTCTGAAGGACTGCGTTCTCCTTGTTTCAGAGGAAGCGTTGCAGGAGACCACAGACTCCATGCAGGAGCTCTCAGTGGAGACCAGCAGCGAGGTCGTCCCCTCAGACTCAGAAACCTCAGACTCCACTCCCATCCCAGCTGCTGACAACTGAGGAACGTCTAACAGCCAGCAACCGCCTACTGCAGAATACATCCACACACCACAGACAGACCAACAGACAGCAGACCGGCAGTGAGACTGAAAGCCAGACAAGGACTGGTCCAGCCAGAGACAAGAATCCATATTTATTATCGAGACTGTCACAAAGGCAGGGAGACACTAAAGCGTACGAGGAAGCTTAGTGCCACAGCAGTCATCTTTTGTGTCATTTTTATATGTTGATTTTTTTTTTCAAATATTGTCATAATGTGAATGTGAAAATTACATAGGCTGATGTGTTGTGTGGTAGAGGTCACTGGGAGGAATCGTGGGTAACACGTGAAGAGCTAAAAGGTTCACATCGATGATGGAACGTAATTCTGCCTTAAGTAACCGTAGCAACCTGTGCAGGAAAGGAAGTGACCGTGTAGCCGATCAGAGCTGTTTGTGTGTTTGCAATATAATTGATTTGTTATTGGGGACGTTTGTTTTGTACCGAGAACCTCACGGCGGATTGTGAGCGGAGAACACGGCTGCACAATATTGACCAAAAATTTATATTTTTAAATATAAACAACATAAACGTGAATTTATTTTTAAGCGTATCATGAAAGATGATGTTAATGCTCAGGATTTTCAAGCATTGTTGTACACAGCACAATAACATCACGTCCATAACCAAAAAAAATGAAAGTCGTGTGGTTTTTGATATTCTTTAATTTATTGTGCAGCCTGAACGGACAGAGACGTTGAAGTCAAACGACCGGTCCAACGAGGCTTTAGTTTGTCCTGAACCATTTCTGATATGTCAAACAACTTGAGCTTCATCACATTAAATAAAGACTAACTTCATCAAAGTGCCCATTCATCATCCTGAGTTTTGGAGTTTTCTGCTCTTCATTTTCCTTTATCTCTATCTCTTTATTATCTCCGAGTTACAAGTTATTGCAATCTAATACAGCATCCCTGCAACATCCCCCCTGTGATTCCAGTTCCAGTATATTCCCATGTTGTTTTAACCTCTGTTCTTATTCTTTGCCGTACTCCGGTTTGGGGAATAATTGTTGAATTGAATTTGGGGGATGTAATGAGCGACACATAGTAAATGAGGACACTATTATCTGTACTGGTGGTGCTTAAACTGGATGTGATCTAACTAACTCACTTAAGCCTGAAATTGATATGGATTGATCAGAAGTTGCTGTATGTATTAGCAAACTATTTACAGAGAGTTTTTTTTTTTTTAAATGTCTCGTTTGGTAAAGTAAAAGTACATTATCTGTACTGGGTACTCGTTTCAGCCGAGTACTCGCTCAGTCCAAGTAAACAGGAAGAATAATGTTGCCATGGAGACACTGAGCTAGCTGTGGGCTACAACCTGACATCCTTTTTTTTTTGCAGATATTTGTTTACATTGTACAGGTATGCAGAGGTAGCTGTCAGCAGTGCCTGTTTGCAGTGTACACATGGATGTAGAGACTACTATGATTTGTTGAGTTAAATCTTAAAAATTCAGGAGATACAGGGAGCATCTTCTTTCTGTTATTTCTAAGTAGGGTTGCAAAGGTAGAAAGGTAGGTACAGTATAATGGTATTACACAGTTATTATTAACAGATGACAATACAAGATTGCGACAGTATGATAACAGTACATTTTCATACCACGTATACCATGCTACCAGAATACCACAACCTTATTTCCTTCTATTTACAAAAGGACGATGGACCTGTCACAGTATCTCACGCAGTATCTCTAATATCCTTTATACAGAGAGCCTTAAACAGAGATGAGGAGTGGGCTACAGGTGTGGTAAACTCACTTCTTTCTAACTCCACACACCCAGATATTCATTTTATTTTCCAACTTGCAACCACATGAGGATTTATTCAACTTCCCCAATACCTGCAAACAGACTTTGGTGTATTAGGCATTCCCCTTTATATGGATTACACTGATTATGTACTGTAATGTGTATTGTCTGATCATTATAAAGCATTGTGAGCACACTTTTGCACCGTGTATGAGGATGAGGATGAGATAATAACAAACATCCTCTCAGCTTGTGGACTTCGTTGCTCGTCTGCAGAAGGCCACAGACTGGAGGACGCGATGACGCTCCTGGTTGTAGATCTGGAAGGACCTCCTCCTCTCTGCTGACTTCACCTCTGACAACACAGAGACCATGGTAACGGAAACATTTAACAAAGTACAAGACACACACCAGTAGCATTTTATGATCATAGATCTTACCTCTTCTATCTAAAACCTTGATAGAAGGCAGGCAGTGGATCACATGGTGGCGATACCCAGGCTCATGGGAGATGGGATTGAGGAAAAAAGCTGCAAAGAAGCCCTTTTTTACAAGAATCCAACAAATTACACACAGTCTTAGTTTAGCGTTTATTTAAACTTGAAAATTTTGGCTCTCTTTAGCACAGCAGGTGTACCCTGACTGACTTTCATCACTCACTTGCAGTTTGGAGCTGCTGCATCTTCCTGAGCTCGTGCATCGTGTCCTCCAGCCCTCTTATCTGGTTGTTGTGGAGAAAAAGAAGTCGGAGGCAGGTCAGATGATTTAGGGCCCCTGTATGAGAGACCAGTTGGGATCAGTTCAGTTCATTATATATTCTGTTCAAATATTGTCAACGACAAGTCTGGACTGCAACAAAAGCCATAAAATGTATCTGTCATCCTTAAAAGTACACTGAAACCAGAGTCTGAAAAGTCAAAACTAAAGATCAAGCTCACATCTCTTACTCCCACAGGTCAGTAAAAACATTCTAACACCTTTTATAGCCGTATTCAACGGTGTGTTATCATCAAGGTTACAGGAGCATTACATTTATTTTTCCAGCTGATGTCCAGGAATTCAAACCAGCAACCCCCCTATCCAGAGGCCTGTTTCATTTCACCTTGAGCCACCTATTGCTTTTAACATTATCTTCACATTCAGAGGAGAAATTAATCACCAGAAATAGACTTGATGTTGTTGTTGTGGAGGTAAAGTTCAGTCAAGCAGCAGTTGAGGGAACGACAGTTGAGCTCTCTGATCTGAAAGATTTGAAATAAAAATAAATGACACTCAATTTTAAACTTCAAAGATCATCCTGTTGCTGAAATACACAAAGCTTTACCTTGTTGTTATTCAGCCACAACTCCCTCAGAAAGTGAAATCTCGATAAGTCGGGCACGCCGGGGAGCTTTCTGTTCAGCAAAACAGCAAGAAATTGTAATCTCTGTCTAGATTTGTGAAATTACATAGTATGAATCTTAATTTCCCCTGCAGCTGCAGTGAAAGCTGCAGATACATCTGTTTTAAATACCACATAAAAATGTGTCTTACCTTGTGGTGAGGCTGAGATGGCAAACATCAACGTCCCTCCTTATTCCACTCTTCTGAAGGGAGTGCTTTATGTCCTGTGTTTAGAGTGAGAGAGAAAGAAAACAAAAATAGATTCATGTGTCTTTGCTATCTGGGCTTTTAAAGGTGTTTGAGATCAACCTGTCTACCTCAGCCACCTCCATTGGAGTCACCTTTGGAGTTTCACACCTGTTGCCAGGAGACTCCTGTTGTCGTTGAAATCACAACAAACAAAAAAATAATATTTTTATTTATATTAATATTATATATGCTTGTTTTACGTTGGTTTGTCTTTTGTCTTTTGTATTGAGGTAGATTTTCTTTTAAATTTGGTAAAGATTAGTGATTAAATAGCTGCAACCCTCATCTTCAGTGGAGGAAAATGTCCAGCAGAGGGCAATGTTTCACCAAACTTGAATGTTAGTTATCAGGTTTCTGCATATTGTGGTTCCTAATGATGTGCAACAGAGACCCAAAATATTTCACTTTCCCTGAAAGTCAAACAGCTGATTTCACTGATACACACTTTTAATCAGAGACAGAAATCAGTAAAAGCAGTTGGTGCAGCAAAACAGTTTTTGATTTGAGTATTTAGAGTTTGGTAGACTTTATACATTTCTTGCACAACATGTCAGAGAGAATTATTGTTCTTCTTGTTCCCTGACATTTATGTAACAGCTGTACTCGTTACTACTTTAGATAAAGATTAAAATATTTTTGGGGAAATACACGTAATCGCATTCTTTCCGAGAGGAAGATGAAAAGATACCACTCTCCTGTCTCTAGATAAGAAGCTAGATCAGGCTTAATTTAAAGACTGGAGCCAGGGGCAAATAGTTGGCCTGACATTAGTTCAAACAAGCTGTATCACCAATAAACACATTTTATCTTGATTGTTAAATCTCTACACAAACAGAAATGTAAAAATAACAATTTGTGGTTTTAGAGGGAGTTATGTGCTGTTGCAATTTCCTGATCAACCACAGTTTATCCATACACCCAGCACATCTGCGCAGCAACTGTGGATGCAGCACATAATTCCCTCTGAAACAGCAAATTGCTCATTTGTACATTTCTGAAATACTAAACATAATGTGTTAATTAAAGGGACGGTTCACCCCAAAATCAAAAATACATATTTTTCCTCTCACCTGTAGTGCTGTTTATTCATCTAGATCGTTTTGGTGTGAGTATCTGGGTTTTGGAGATATCAGCCATAGAGAAAAGTCAGTTACTCAAGATAATCCACAGATCTAGTTTTGAGCAGTTCCATGAAGGAACTATAGTTCCTTTCTACATATAACTGGCGCAGGAAGGAAGCCGTGTATGTTACTCCCATAGACGAGCGTGGAATTTTCACATCATGGAACGAGCGCTCGCGAGTATCTCAACTCATGGCCACGCGTCACTTAAAATTGTACTCATGGGGACGAGAGGCGATCGGTGCTCGTGTGACAGCACAGGTATGTATCATATGGCGATCCCCGTCGGTTCTCTGTAAACTGTACGTGTCAGCTCGCTCGGGAAAGAATGCGCGACGACTCCTTCTGCGCTGTGAATACGATTGCTGGTTGTAGCGTGTCCTACAAGTGCGGAAACGAGGGCTCACAACAAGGCTGAGGATCTTTTGTCTGGGTTACCGGTTCATTGCGTGTTGATTGCGACTTGTTTGTTTGCAAATGTTGTGCTTGTGGTTTGGCGTGTTTTGAGTGTGACCCCGGTAGTGATATCTGATGCGCATTGCGTGGGTTCCACGGTTGTATTTGTGTGAGAGGGAGAAGCAACGTGGCTACACGCCGCTGGAGTGTGGGCGAAGAGTGTGTATCGAAGAATAGCAGGGACCCGTGACTAGGGCGCGACAGGTAGGAGGGACGATGGAGTAGTGTCAGGTGGGTGGTGTGTTGTTTTTGTTTATCCCTGTGTGGCATCCTGATTAATATCGAAAAGCTGAAAAAGCTGGTTGATACTCATCACTCTCAGTACAATAAATTGTTACTTAAAGGAACCCAAGTAGCTCGACTGGATTAAGCATGGCGTCTAGATGGTGAAGCTGCAGATTGCAACTTAAACTGATACCTGTATTTGACGACCCTAGGGAATTGAAAACAAGCAGTGTTTAGGAGAAACTACGGTTCGAACAAAAATTCACCAAAATTCCACAAAAAACACGCTGCACAGGCCCTAATCTACACGTCACGTGTCCATGAATTTGATCCATTGGCGGTCATCAAGCATGGATAGACAGCGGACCCATACGAAGGCCGACCACTGCTCGTATGAAAAATGGCTATTCCTAAAGTTTACGAAATAACAACAGTTTCTTTAATTTTTTAAGGTTGATGTATACACCTGATGAAAACACACCTTATTGGATTTTTAGGTAAGATTCCATATGTCGCGATTGTTTGTTATATCTTGATGGATCCTCTTAAATGTTACAACTGGACCCGCTTAAGTTAATAAGTATGTTACTATTCTAACCCCCTGAAAAGCAACCGATTGATGTT